GTGAAAGCTTTCACGATAAAGGATCAACATGTGGTAATATCAGTGAGCGGATTGACGGAAGAGTGAATGAATAATAATTCGCGTAACGACATATCTTAAACCAAACAAGATTATAGATGGGTGTCTACCGTAGTCCCATTTTACGTCACGTTACATAAATCTCGGAGATCGCAAAGGTATATTCGGCCAACGAGAACGGTAAAGACAATATATTAGAAGTCATTCTTTCTGACAGGTAACAAGGCCCTGCAGTTCAATTGCGAGACCCGTTACAGGTAAGCTGCGACCCCACCTGATTGGTTGAAATGTGACAGGTCGACACTTGGGACGAAGAGAGACGGATGCCATGTGACAAGATGACATGTGGGACAGAGAGAGACGGACCCATGTGATAAGATGACACGTGGGACAGAGAGAGACGGAGACCATGTGCAACTTGACCTGGTCTAGTTGCAGTTTGTGTTTCGTTCTATGCATAACGTAGTGTTGACAGGAGGAATGGTTAACACTGAACATATTTCACTTTTTCTTTCACTTTCCTTTGCACGAGTGCAACTTCAACATACTTTCTAATTAATATATGGGTGCTGATATGACATAGAGATCCTTGGACATTGACTCAGTTAGGTCGCGCAAGTACAAATGGTGCGAGACTTTAACATTTAAACAAACGAAAGTTTGTGTGCGAAAATGTTCGGAGGAGCTGGTTAGAAAGCCAAAGGATCGTCTATCCTATACAAGACCTGCGCCAATGTTGACTTGCCCAACCATGAAGACGGAGCGAAACATTAGAGATTCAGGAGATCCTTAGGCAATCAAATGGAGAGATAGTATTGCGTGCGGAGTAGAGCACACATCTCCGGTAAATGAAGATCATCTGGCTGATAAATCCACGGCATAAGTTTACGCAATTGAACGAGTCTGAACTACAGTCACTATATAAAATCTAATCACGGCGTGGGTCAGTGCACACACGGGGGTGCGAAGGACAACCATAGATTTTGGAGTGACCAAAAGCGAGGGTAACGATTTTTAGGAAACTGATCAGAAGCAGCATTTTCAACGTTAACATTTCGACGTAACTTTGGTAAATATTAATAGACAAAGACAAATGACAGGCAAAAAATGGAGGGTAAGAAGTCGTAAATTAGTGAGTAATATAGTACAAGAGGAGAACATTACGCCTAGCATGGAAGAAAACATAGAACCGTCTTGCCCGAAAATTATCGTGGGTCCTGTCTAGGTCGCGCACGAAGATATACCAATAGGTGGTCTTAAGATATCTCCGTTGGAACATAAAGAGAAATTACGACACTTTGGTTCATAAAAGTCGCCGTTCACTAACAAGAAAAAAATAATTTACCGCCAGTATCAATTGATGCAGGGTGGAACATTTATGGCGTAAGACCAGCCCGATAGAGCAACCAGAGACCAGTCGCGCCATTGTTTCGTGTAAATTTAGCCAAATTTAGTACAGATACTTAGAATTAGCGATAAACATATGACTAAACCGACTCTGCTATGGGCGATCCCATAGTTGTGATCCTTGAGAAGATTGAACGAAGAAATCCGGCTGTTCATTTATGATCGTTGGGTATACATACTGACTAGATTAGCTGTTAATCCATGACGATAGTTTTATAAATTGTTGCAGGATGCTAAAAGCAAAGTTAGAATCGATCTGGCTAGTAAATTTTGAGCGGTGCAAATTACAAAACGTGCGAGAATGAGTCACTCATTATTTTCACCATCACTTCTTACGTAATTAGATCACTTTGTGCTAAATTATCCCCTACATGTTACCAACGATTACTGACAAAGCATTGTACAAATATCGTAAATTGGTAAAATTCATGATCCGGAATTCACGGAATCGCTAAAAGTAATCAATATATTTTTCTAACGCGAATCAAACATTGATTAAGATGTATCAGATATATATGGTAAGTTCTACATTGATCATATGTTGATACCCGACACGTCGTGGAGTTTCATTTACAATAAGGTGGCTAGACACTTAGAAGTATGTAATAGTATGTTTTTCGGACCAGCCAAGATTCTGGGGGCGACGTGGAGTGGATTCCTCGGACATTGTGATCGACGCAGTTAGTTGTATAAATTTTCAATAATGACAGTCTCTTTGCCAGATAGTTTTAGAATGATGCGTATGTGCTACATATATAACGGCAGGTATATTTCATGAGGACAATAGAACCAATGTTGTGAATATACCGGCAAACAATGTATGGGTGATCCGAAAGCTGAACTAGAGTGGTTTAGGTGATCCTGACGATGCCCTATAACTGCAAAAAAACCCATTCCATGCCTCTATTGAGGATAGAAATCTTGTTTCCATAGAATTACATGGACATACTATGAGGATGCCATTAAGAAAAAATAGCCGAGAGTCTGTTGCTAGCCAATTTTTAAGGCCGATCAGCATGAAAAAGACAAAAGTTGAATTGTACAGCGCGATCATACGGAAGCTACGCTAGAGGACTATAGTAAGCCCCCGTTGGATTATGCAACGAATAAGACAGTCGCTAACGCGGAGTATACGCGATTTGCACTGGCTGTTTCTAAAAACTGGTATATAGGCTTCAGGAAGTGCTAAAATTTGAATGGACCTCAACATAGTCATACAATCGATGCGGGCTGAATTTTCTGCAAAACAACGGTGTCCTTGATGATAAGGCATTAGAAAATGAAAAATTGCATACATAGCCGATCCATGAATATCTATCGATACAGCGGGGTGATGTCAAGTCGCCGAATTGGCTGGTATCTACAGCCTTGTAACGAAAATAATATATGATCGTTTCATCTATCATGACTTACAGAATTGGATCTACGTGCACCAACAAAATGAACTGCAAGCAAAACGAGCCGATTGCGTAGTGAGAATGACTGAGATAATTCAAGCAGCAGTAAGACGGCGTGGACTTCCTAAAGCTTTGCAAGAGCTGATTGCATACCAAATTTCGATAAAACGCAGGAATCAGTTGCATAAGAAGATGGGCCATATTTGAATTTGAACAACGTATCGTATCGATTTCGGGATACGAAACAATTAAGTGTAGAAAAAGGAACACTACATGCTAAAACCTTCCGACTATATAATTTAACGAAATCGAGATATAATTTTCGGTACTGGATCGACTGGTGAAGCAAAAGATCGCGCGAAAATCGGTTCGGTTGGTGAGACAGAATGATTGCAACAAGACATCCTACACCACTTTCATACTTGCCTAGAGGAACGTCATGAAGATACCAATAGTACATATCAACGGATCAGAATCAACTTAAACTAGAGAGGATCTGTTCGGATTATGCGGCCTTGCGCGGGATAATGTGAGGATTTGGTACCGGAAAGGGCTTTCCTCGATCCGAGGTGGATCACCAGGAAAATGAAGGCTACATATTTATTTGAAAAATATTGCTATGGACCACATTTCATCATTACATCGATATCTACAGTTGACAAGTAGCTGTTGCCGTGGTAAGACCTCTTCGTAAGTAACTCAGCGCAAAATATAGTTCATGTTCGACAGCCCAATCAGTTGATATAAATATCTTGAATGAAGTGTGTTCGACAACCCAAACAGTTGATATAAATATCTTAATGAAGTGTGTTCGACAACCCAAACAGTTGATATAAATATCTTGAATGATGTGTGTTTCGAGTGTTAGGTGCGAGCAAAGCGATCCGTCCTGATCAATTACCCGATTTCATGCCTGCCTTTTACAGCTGTTATTGGATCGCTGAGCAGACCCAGCGTTCAATCATGGCTTACACGGACCAAGAGAATGGGATGGCTTACGTTGGTAACATCACTGACGCGATCGTTACAACTGTATGTCAAACTTGTGGAGCAAAAGGACTTAGGACGAGCATGCCGAACGACAAACATTCGCATAGGATGCCGCACAGGATCACCTTTGTGGAGATTACTCGTTTACTTGATTCTCGGCTGATACCCGCGGTTCACGTTGGGGACCGCCTTACCACTTAAAGCGCCAAATGTCGCCAAATGTCGCGATATTGAACCGCAAAGACGGTTATATTTCATGCAACGTCTACTGCAGCAATCGAGGGCAGTAGTAAATGGTCACCTTAAGCCCTTTATTTAAGATCGGGCCGATAGCTATAAGGTTGATCGATTATATCATAATCTGATGGCCAGCTCGCTGATGTAGATATATTATATCTAGCGAAAGAGGGAAATGCTCCGGCAAAAACTTAAATTTAAAAATTGGTTATAGCTCACTAAACAATAGTATTCCGTGTAATTTAAGCAGCGGCTCTGCCGTCAAACATGTTAAGCAAGAAGAACGCAGCCGTCGTGACGCAAGTTAGGTACAGGGCACACCGAGCCGTTATTTCGTTTCGCGGACTACACCGTGCAAATACGGTGTCTCGTGGAGACGACACGATGCGAGTGTGCGAAACAGGCAAATAGTGTGCCATGACCTATCGATGTTACCTGCACGGCCTAACGAGCAGAAACACAAGTTATTGCCATCCTTCCTGCTTTCGTGGCAAAGATCCGTTTACTCAAAACGGCATTGCGAGTCGGGTGTAGCTTCGGATCCTATATCAGCATATGGAGCCGCTCAATGCTCATAACGTAGAGCTTCGACGACCGAAGACTTCCTTGACGGCATCGACCGACTTTTACACTCATCAGGCGGACGGCAGCGAAAGGCCTCGTCGCGAATAAACTCGAATGACCAAATCCCACCGCCAGCTGAACATGCGTCCGAGTTCACGTGCGATAATGTCTCAAGAGACAATTCACCTTCTCCCAATTGCAAAATACCGACCACTCGCCTCAAAACGAGTCTTAAGTAACACAAACAGATCGATCAATCAATCGATCAATCGATGGACGACCAGCCGAATCCCAGCAACACAAGCAACAACAACTATAACAGCCACAACAGCGGTACCAAGCGCGGCCGCAGCGGCGGTTCTGCCCGTCCGCCAACGGCTGCTCGACATGCTCGTGGACAGTACGGCCGAAGCGGTGCAGCAGCGTTTCCTGCAGTTTCTATGTGGCTACGGGCAGTCGCCATGCGATGCGTCGACCGACGAGGTGGACGAGTGCGCGTCCGTGCAGCTCAAGTACCGCCAACAGGCCCAAGTGATGCGCAGTACAGAGACGTCGTCGCTCTTTGTGGACTTTTCGCACGTGCTCGAGGTGGACGCCGACTTGGCCCATGCGCTGCAGGCCCATTACTACCGCTGGGAGCCGTACTTGCGCCGCAGTGTGTTTGAGTTCATTCGCCTGGAAGATGCAGCGTACACAGTGAACGACGACGCACGGAAGTCGCAGCGGGAGTTTTTTGTCAACTTTTACAATTTCCAACACGTCTCACAGTACGAACGAGACGATGGCGGTGTTTTAATTCGATATCTAGAGATGGATCGATCGATGATCGATGATCGATCTCGTCTGTTTTGATTGACGTTATCGTGCTGACGGTAGGATGGATACAGTCAAGACGTGCCATATCTTGACATGTATTTGGGTGTGTGTGTATGTGTGTGCGTGTTGTGCTTCTTCTTGCGGTGTAGTATTCGGGACCTACGGACGAAATGCATTGGAGAGCTACTGTCGTTCTCAGGAACAGTGACGAGGACGACTGAAGTGCGACCCGAGTTGTTGTTTGGAGCTTTCACGTGTGCAGATTGTGGCGGCGACACGACTGGTGTGGAACAGCAGTTTCGATACAGTGAACCGGTCAAGTGCCAGAACCCGTACTGTGTGAACACGTTTTCGTGGGAACTGAATACGGAAAAGTCCGTGTTTGTCGACTGGCAACGTGTCAAAGTGCAGGAGAACAGTGATGAGATTCCAGCGGGCAGTATGCCAAGATCGATTGATGTTATCTTGAGGCACGAAAATGTCGAGCAAGCTAAGGCTGGAGACCGCGTTGTGTTCACGGGAACACTAATTGTAGTCCCGGACGTGTCCAAGTTTGCTCGGGCAGGCGGAGAGACGGCAGTGGCGACTCGCAATAATGGCCAGCAGTCGCGCCGCGGTGGAGAGAATAGCACACAGGGAATGGAAGGCGAAGGTGTTCGTGGCCTCAAGGCTCTTGGTGTGAGAGAGCTTACTTACAAGACGTGTTTTCTCGCGTGTAGTGTGCAGACGATGGAGCAGCGCTTCAATAGTATCTCCATTCGCAGCGAGTTCAACGAAGATGGCGCAGAAGGAGATCATGCTGGCGAGGCGGCACTGCAAGAGTTCAGCGACGAAGAACTGGCTTCTATTCGTGCAATGCAGCAAGACCCGGACCGGTATATGAAGATGGCAAAGTCCATCTGTCCGTCTGTGTATGGCCACGATGAGATACGTAGAGGTATCTTGCTCATGCTTTTTGGCGGCGTGCACAAGAAAACGATGGAAGGGATCAAGTTGCGTGGCGACATCAATATCTGTATCGTTGGAGACCCGTCCACAGCGAAGTCGCAGTTTCTCAAGTATATCGTTGGGTTCTTACCCCGTGCGATCTACGCGTCAGGGAAAGTAAGTTCAGCTGCAGGTCTCACGGCTTCCGTCACGCGAGATGCAGATAGTGGAGACTACTGCGTCGAAGCAGGTGCATTAATGCTGGCGGATAACGGGATCTGCTGCATCGACGAGTTTGACAAAATGGATCCGATGGACCAAGTCGCTATTCACGAAGCTATGGAGCAGCAGACTATTTCCATCACAAAAGCTGGCATTCAAGCCACGCTGAATGCACGGACAAGTATCTTGGCAGCTGCGAACCCGTACAATGGTCGATACGACAAGACCAAAACGCTGAAATACAACGTGAATATCTCGGCGCCCATCATGTCGCGTTTCGACCTGTTTTTCGTCATTGTAGACGACGGCGACGAAGTTACCGACCAGAAAATTGCAGAGCATATCGTCAATATCCACATGCCTAGTCACTTGCAAGTAGAGGCAACGGAACACGGTGCGTACACGGAAGAAGACCTCAAGCGCTACATCAAATTTGCGCGAACGCTGAATCCAGTGATCACGCCTGAGGCCAAGAGAATGATGGTGGCGTGCTACCGAAGTTTGCGCGAGAACGATGTCGTGAGTAATGGGCAAACGAATATTGCGTACCGCATCACCGTACGTCAGCTGGAATCGATGATCCGGTTGTCCGAGGCTTTGGCAAGACTCGACCTCAGCGATACAGTGCTGGTTACACACGTGCAAGAAGCTTACCGGTTGTTGAACAAGTCGATCATTCATGTGGACACTCAAAACGTCGAGCTGGAGATGCCTGTTCCTGTACCAGCTGAAAGTGAAGACGACAGGGATGATCACAAAGGAGCTGGCGGCAGCAGTGACGGTGGACCTGGGGACGACGATGATGGGACGAATGACGGCAGCAACGGAGGTGACCAGAAGGGTACTACGCAGGGTGCTGCTAACGGTGAGTCTACCGCTGCAAAGGGTTCGTCAACCGTCGAGGACGACACGCCATTGAAGCCGCTGCAAAGTTCCGTCGGGGCGTCTTCGCTTTCGTTTGAGCGCTTTGCCAGGATTCAAAAGGCCATCGGTCGGTTTATTCGGGAAAAAGAAGGAGAGGGGTCGAGTGGTAAGCTTGCGCGCGACGCGATCCGTGCACAAACTGCAGCAAGTGTCGGAAGTGTGCAGCCGGAGGACGAAGACGAGTACTACGAAGAGGATGCATCTGGTGTGTTGCAGGGCGAACTCGTGACGTGGTACCTGTCATCTCAAGACATTACATCGGAGGCGCAGCTCTCGCGCGAGAAGCAGATGATCTGCTCTGTGATCGACAGATTGCTGCAGGACAAATTTTTGTCGGTCGTGGACATGGAGGAAGACGGCGACGACGACGAAATGGATGACGACGAAACTGTGCTGTCCAGCCGAGACGAAGACAGTCTTGGTCATGAGCAGACTGCGACGAAGCGAAAGCGCACGAAGAAGCTGTCACCTGAAGAGGAGGATGCCAAGAAGCAGCAACGGTATTTAACAGTGCACCCCAACTACGCCTTTGAGTAGAACGTAGGGCACAAACGCATCAGTACCAGTGCAAGTTGAAGTTGCGGTTGCTGTGAAGACGCTGGACCCTAGCCAGTCTAGCTTTCGAGACAATGCACTCACTACCTACTTTATAAAATCTGCTAAGAGTGTGGACGTATGACAAGTACACTTTTCAGTCATCCTGTCCTTGGCAAGACCGTGTACTGCTCTCTTGTTCGATCGTCACAGTCGTGTCTTTGGTTTCGGGTTTCTTGCACCCATGACAGCAGACGTCGTTGGTCTTGCTTCCTTGTCTTACATGATCTCGTGGGCTTTGTCAGAAACACCTTTTTCAAACGTCAGCAAAGTGTGCTGCACTTTTCCCACAACTTGTATTCGTAGCTGTTGACATTATGAAGCGATCGAAAACCGCGATACGAGTGGCATGAAAGAAAGACGTCTCAGCGCAAGTTCACGACCGCGTTAAACCGACGGAGAGATAGACAAGGGCAACATTCCCTCCAAATCTTCCTTCATATCGTCATTGGATTGTCCGGTTTACTCGACCCCCCCCTCACATTCCCACGGCCAGAGTTTGACCAATCGATGCAACCCGTGACACGCGCAGACTTCAACGTTGTTTATTCGCAGCACTTGCTCATCTCACTTGACCTGCCCAAACGTCGCACCAGCAGCTCCACACGTCGCATGAAACGGCTAGAGACATGTTTGCAAAGACAAAAGAACTGCCAGAAAAGCGAGAGAGAAGAGAGCGATCGTGCAGCACGAGCACTTGTACAGCAAAGAGTCAACGAGAGAAGTGATTGTGACTGGACCGACAAGTGCATCGACAGGAAATCGCACGGTGTGTATTGTCAATGCAGAACCTCCAGAAGCGATGCAATTGTCCATATCCACAAATAGTGACGATGTTCGATCCCTCTCTCTTTCCGTGAGGAGCCTCTTTGCAGTTATGCTCGACAAGCAGAACAATATGGGACGTCGACAAACAAGACTCAATCCACGGTAAGAATTAATAATTAAAGCTCTTTCAACGTTCTTTCTTTGGCTGCCGACATGCGACGCTTGACACGGAACTGCGTGAAAAGAAGCTTTGACAACTTGCAACTCTCCTCTCTTTAATCTTCATCTCTTGTACAATCGGCGGCCCTCCCTCCTTCCCCCCTCCCCCAACAGCGACTTTGATACTACGTCATACTAATACACGATAGGACTGTTGAGCCAGTCGCCCCTCTCGAACGAGAACAAGGTGGCGAATAAAATAAAAAAAGGAATCCCCGCGCTCTACTCCACCCCCTTCGCCTCCGCGGCAGTAGACAACGTCGGTCCCCCTTCTTCTTCTCTCCCCTCCCCTCCTCCTCCTCCTCCTTCTTCTCCACTCTTTTCTACTCGTGCACGATCATACACCGCGACAGTGGTGCGTTCGCTACACTCAAGAAGAACTCGACCGTCTGGTTCCCAGCAGTGACCATGACCCGACCCGACGGTGTCTTGCCGAGCTCGTACTTGCTCAGCTTCATCGGCGTCGGGACCGTCGGAATCGTCGTCATGTCGGCACTCGCCATGCCCATGTTGTAGTCGTCCAGCTCGTCCAGCTCGTCAGCATAGAAAGGTCCTTCCTGCGACGACGACGACGCAGTGGACGCACCCGATGGGTAGTACTTTGTATGCTGCTGCTGGTACGGCTGAGACTGGTGCTGATGGTGGTGGTGGTGGTGCTGCTGCGAGTTGTAGTACGTTGTCGGACTGGAGGGCGACGGGTAGTACTCGGCGTAGCTCCGTGGCTGGTACGACGTCGTCGTCGGCTTTACCGGAGACGAGTAGCCATCGTAAGCACTGCTGTACTTGGACGTGTACTGCGGTGACGACGACGACGACGACGAAGTCGAGTGCTGCGGGTGGTACGACGGACTGCTCTGATGACGAGCGTATCGGGCGTGCATGGCGAGGCAGCGGGTGGGCTTTTTGTTTTTATGGGTTTTTTTCGTGACGAGGGAGGAGCTCTTGAGCTCTGGACAGCGTTTTCAGGAATGACCTCCCGGCTCGCGGCGACAAAATTCAGTGCGAAAAGAAGTCGCGATGGGCGTAATTGATTTTTTTTTATTTTCACAACGAGGGAATGACCGACCGACCGACCGCGTCGCGCCGTGTTTTTCTGTGCGTAGCGCTCGCCGGTGGCCCTGTTTGAGTTTATGGTAAAGAACGCGGACGGACGGACGGACGGCTGGATGCCCGCAGGAAGAAAAAGAGCCAGTGGCACCGACCCACAGCCCCGTGCGTTGCGCATGCGAGGAAGAGATTACCAACTCTTGTCGTCACTTGGGGTTTGTATCGCCCACACGCTGCCCGTCGACGAGCGCGTGTAACGGCTGGTCCGCGCCTTTATTTCATCCAATCACTCGTCCTCCCCTACCCCCGCCCTACCCGCGCTGTCGTCCAGCCGTTGCAGCTGCCCGCCCACTAGCCGAAAAGCTCAAAGTCGCTCTCTCGCGACCAAAATCAGACATACGAACCCCACGAGTCGATCGTAGCAAACTCCTCCCGAGACGCTCTTCGAGCCGCTTTCGGTACCAAGTGGGCGGGGGATGGCATCACCACGAAGGCCCCTTTACACGCGCGTCTCGTTGTTGTTACGCGGTGGCAGCTGTTTTCGCGCCGGCCGCTTCTTTCCTGTTTCGAAACCGCTGCCGGCCCATGTCGAAGGCGCACGCGTCTATGAAACGTGAACCCTGCGGAAAGCGCCGCTCGTCTGATGGAAGTAGCCGCGGGCTAACGCCTTTTGCTCACTCTCCGCCGTCCCTCGAAATGTACTTCTCTACGCTTGTCTGCGTCCATCTCCTCCTCCTCCTCTTTTGACCGCCATAGTGGAACGCATACGATGGGGGACAGCGCGCCCCGCGTGGTGGCCACACACGGTCAACCAGAAAAGCAGCAGACGAGCCAGCGCGCCAGAAAGTTCGGCTGTCTTGAACTCGGTGCAGACCAATCAGCGGTCGAGCGCTGTCGACCGGCTGTCATCGAAGGGATGGGCGAAACCATCGACACACGCCATCTTAGTGGGCGTGTCACGCTGGACAAAGACCTGACTGGATCCTACTGACTACTCCACTCGGCGCGGCCGACGCCATGCGAAGCGATAGCCGCGCGGGCGCGAGCCGACGACGAGCGCCATGGGAACGACAAGGCAGTAATCGCAGCAGCAGAGCGCTCGGGCCCCGACCATTTTTTCCCAGTGATTGGGCGCTCGCAATCGCTCATCTTTCTCTCTCGCGCGCGCGCGCGTCTGACCAATCCGTCTCGGGGTCGGGAATGTGACATGTGTACGGGGACGGCCAACTTCAACATGCGGCCGTCGTCCGCTCGCATAAATCATCGGTCCTGCGGGCGACCGGTCTGCGATGCGGAAGTGCGACTTCCACCGAGTGTTGAAGTGCCGAACGCGGAGGATGTTCACGCCGTTTTTATACGACGGACGCACAGTGGCTGAGAACGAGAGAGAGAAAGAAAGAGAGAACAGAAAGAGAGCGAGAGGGCGAGTGGGAAGTGGAGGAAGGGTTGGAGTGTGGATCCGTGAAGAGGTCGAGAGCGTAGCAACGACTGACGCGCTTTGGTGCGAGAGAGCGGTTTCGAGTGGCATTGAGTTGATGGGTGACACTGTTTCGCCCTATGATAAACGTAGCAATCAAACACATTCTCTGACCGCGTTCAGCATTGTTTGCGATACATTCAGTGGAAGGGCAAAAATAACACGCGTTGTCGTGTCAAGATTAGCACATTTAAAAAAAAGGCATTGCGTCGTCCCCTCTCCTCGCCCGTCCTGGGCTTTCGTTACTGCTGTCGTCACCTGCTTCGAATCCAAACTCCGGCAGCACGAGCGTTCTTAATGTGCATCCTGACTCCACTGGATCGTGTTGGGGTCAATGCCCTCCTGCACCATTTCCCAGAGAGGACTCATCTCGCGTAGACGCGTCACGTGCTTGACGCACAACTCGACTGCATAGTCAATCTCCTCCTCGGTCGTAAATCGGCCAATGCCAAAGCGAATCGACGTGTGCGCTAAGTCTTCCCCTACGCCAATCGCACGCAGCACGTACGATGGCTCGAGTGATGCACTCGTGCATGCACTACCCGACGAAACAGCAAGATTCTTCAGCGCCATGAGCAAACTCTCGCCTTCCACATACGCAAACGACAAGTTGATATTGCCCGGGTATCGCTGCTCCTTGTCGCCATTGAGCACAACGTGTTCGATGCGGTCCGTGATGCCGCGGTACAGCTTGTCCGACAAGTACTTGACCCATCGATGATCGTTCTCCATTTCCTGCGCAGCAACTTCACAGGCTTTTCCAAAACCCACGACCAGAGGAGTTGCTAGCGTGCCACTTCGTAGACCCCGTTCTTGACCGCCACCTGAGATAATGGGTTCAAGACGAATACGGGGACGGCGACGGACGTACATGGCCCCAACGCCCTTTGGACCATAGATCTTGTGCCCCGACATGGACATGACGTCAATGTTCATCGCGTTCACATCCAGTGGCAGTTTACCCACCATCTGCGCCGCGTCCGTGTGGAAAAACACTTTGCGGTCTCGACAGATCTGACCAATCTCCTTCAGTGGCTGCAATACGCCAATCTCATTGTGCACAGCAATCACCGACACCAGAGCAGTGTCCGGACGAATAGCAGCCTGGAGCTGCTCCAGGTCCACCAGTCCGTTCGTACCCACTGGCAAGTACGTGATCTCAAAGCCCTCGGTCTCCAATACACGACACGAGTCCAGCACGCACTTGTGCTCAATCTGCGTCGTGATAATGTGCTTCTTCTTGGCTTTCGTAAAGTGGGCGACACCCTTCAGGATCGCATTGTTGCTCTCGGTAGCACCCGACGTAAACACAATCTCTTTTGCGTCCGCGTGGATCAAGTCGGCGACGCTCGCCCGAGCGCGTTCCACCGCCTTGCTCGCGTCCCAGCCAAACTCGTGCGTCGACGAGTGCGGGTTGCCGAACGCGTGCGTCATGTACGGCATCATAGCGTCCACGACACGCGGATCCACCGGTGACGTGGCTTGGGCGTCCAAGTACGCGGGAACCGCACCGGTCACAGGCGCATGCTCGTCTCGAGCAGCAAACCCCGGGGAAAAGATCACGTCTGAGCCAATGTTCTGTAAGACGCTGGCCGGGACTTCGTTCACGGGCGTGTAGCGCTTGTCCCCCGTGGCGAACGCACGACCAGTGCTTGCGGCTGCACCAGTGCGTGTGACGGAGGAGACGACCAGCGGCTATGCGCTTGGAAGGGGAACGGAGGAACTGCATCGCTCAGTCCGTGATCAAAGTGCAAGTCGGGTGGGTTTGTTTCGTTGGCTACGACGCAATGTGAGCTGCTCGAGAGGCAGAGCGAGTAGTCAGTATGACAGGGGGAGAGAACGAGGAGGCGATTACTGCAGTCACTAACTTGAAGGAGCGATCGCCACGAGTCAGCTGACGGGGACGACACGTGTGACGAGAGGCGCATGTGATTGGCTGAATACGGTTGGGATGTGCGAGAACGAAGCGCACCGGCCGTTGACGAACGGGTCGATAATGACAACAATAGATTATTGACATGTTCGTCGTTCTTGCGAATAGTATGAGATTTAACAGGCGTGAAGCGACGCGCCGAGCATGACGGTAGATAGGGTGCGCGCTGACTGTGCCGTTGCATGCGTTTGGCTAGTGTCGACGCATACTTTGCCGTTTCGAATGTTCTTGTAACGTGCACTGCGGTGTTTTAGTTATTCGCACACTTCGTGACCTTTGCTTGAATATTCTTTATTGAAACAGCGTTCCGTCGGCGTTCTTTTTCTTCTTCGTTTGCTGTGGTTCGTAGCTCATTTGTCCCGAACTTTTCGTAACGGCGCAGTTGAGTTTATCGCGTTTAAATGAGAGCGTTTCGCAAGTAGTTCGCTACGCTGAACGTACTACATCTGTCTTCACCGACCTCACCGACCACTGACTAAGACCTGTCGATGTCCGATACAGAGGTCTTGTAGCACGAGAAGGTCGGGGCACCCAGATATTGTCTTCGAGCATTTGTAAAAAATGTTATCATACCACCACTGCTGTCTCAACCGCTGCTGCCCGGTGCGCGCTGTTCAACACTGCGGTCACTATCTTTTGCATACCGTACACTCGGAAGGGTACTACTACCATCCACACGTTGCTCTGTGACAGAGCATGTAGATTGACGAGCGACGCTGGCGCGTGTCAAGCCGTTACGATAATCGCTCAAATTTTGACAAGAAAGTTCGACATCTTTCCCCTCTGCTGTGTTTGCCAAGCATTTGTCCATATCGAAGATGTTGCCACGATGGCTCGTACTGCTACGTTCGAGGCCATGCGTCGTGTTTATGGACGCATGACAGTCTGATTGACCCATTCCGCATGCCGACGAACAGATAGCAAGGATGCGGTGTGAGGTGTGGCTTGCTCATTCCATCGTTGATATTGGCCAAAATGCTTTACTCGTTTCAACTACATGATGTTCGCTTCATTGTGTCAGTCGCTGATCACTCAATCGCCCCGACGAGCAATAAACTCAGGCTGCAGCTCTCATCGCATATATCGCAAGAAACTGTCGTGGAACAACAACATGATGAGTTCTCATCCGGATCGAAGGGGCTTCTAGCACGCAATAACGCCTTTGTTGTTGGGATAAACGTGACCCACACGTAGTTCTCTTTCGTAGTCAAGTACTCGAGTAGCCATCAGAAAATTCTGCACAAGCGTCATCAAGAAATCAGTCCTTGCGTCATATTGAGCAAAGGCAGCCAACTCGATCCTTATGACATTCTCGGCCTATGTCACATCACGCGTTGCAAGCCAACTTCGTGTGAGAAGCATTGCTAGCCAAGAGGCAACGCAGCGACAAAGTTGGCAAAGAAGATCACCGCAAAAGGTGCTGGGCACTCGCGTCTTCACAATGAGACACTTGGGAACAGTAAGCAGGTTGTAAAAATTAGCATGTACACCACGATCAATGCTTGCTCGCCTTTTGACATACGATAGTTGAAGTAGGACGTGTCTTTTGCCGGCAATTGTACGAGGGTAACGCAAAATAGTCTCGGCATAACTTGTCAAGAGCGCAATAATGCGACCCTTGCCTTAGGTACCTTCCGTTCACGAAGGTTGATGAGTGCTCCGTAATGAGAGGCACGTAGCAGAATTAGGCGATATGACCCTTTGATGGAAGACCTGAGATTCAAGGGCCAAGGGTGTGTACAGTCCGAGTTACGAAATGCTGAGAAATGTTGTTTATTAGTACTTCTGCATCACTTTCTTGCATGGGGATGACGGAACGGTGTCCCCAGCACTCACTCTGCTGTTTCGCACGTATGTGTGCATCAATTACAGCTCACACTTCATCGCACGCCCACTAAGTAAAACCGATGGCCTTCATGCTGCATCATCCAGCGTTCTAGGCACCTATCTGATAACTTGTTACATCTCGTCGTCGCTAGTCGGACTCACTGACACATTGCACGGATGAAGATTACACTCGGCAGCTTCCCTGCAGATTGGATAGCCGTGGCACCGGCACTTGTAGGCTTAGACATCGGAACGGAAGTACTCTACCATATCAGTGAAGGCAGCAATATTTTCCCAGGCCATTTATTTCACGTATTGCCCACTAAAGTATTGCCCGCAATGTTCAGAAAATGACGCGCTATTTGTCCACTCTCGCTCCATGATCTCAGTGGAGTCACCGAATGGACCTACAAAAGTCACTGCACAAATTGCAAACCGCTAACGAAACAATTGGACAAATGGTCCATCCACACGACCTCTTTGTGTACAGCAGCTTCGTCATTCTGCAGCTACTCGTACAACTTGCGACGAATCGTCAGCCGCCCGTCTCGCCAAGTAGAAGCAGCTGACCTGGTTGGACAGTCTGAACGATCTAAACGGTCTGCGAGCAATTGCCACACTCAACGAGGTCTCTGTCTTTGATCTTTCAATTGAACCCGCGACGTTAAACGCTGGATGTCTCAATGAGCGCTCTTCTATCAATCCGCAAATACACAGTAATCGCTGTTGCATGCATTGACAACACTGTTGTCGATAGTGCGTCTGGAAAGGCTTGCAGACTTGCACAGCATTGATGGTGCTCTCCATTCGGAACGCTGTGGTCTTGCAGCTGGTGCAGCTGATCCATTGAAGCTGGACCGGATACAAATGCCATCTAACCGCGAGGACTGATCCCCCCTGACGCCAAAATGGATGCTGGCGCATTGCTGTTGACTAGTCAAAGCATGTCGTGCAATACGTGCATACAACGCACGAGCTATTCCTTCGTGGTCCCGCAGACCCCTCATAGTTGATATCCCTGTCACCCTATTCCAAAAGCCCGTACGAGTGACGTCGTTTACATTGAAACGTACCAAATAGTCCTATAGAGTGTATACTTGTCGTAAAGTCGTAGGTTCCACGCCTCGCTGGATACGCAGTGTATACGCCACTCGACTAATCGACACGCAGCCACCTTCATTTGACATGCGCTAGTATAGTTTCATCAACCCATCTCAGTTGACCACCCACTCGACAAGAGACCGCTGCTCCAGTGCGTTTTCGCCCTCGAGTATGCATTTGAACAGGATCACTATACGAAGTATACACCAACCAGCCCGCCCACGGCTCAGCCAGTCAGCCACTCGTCGTCAGCCCCTTCCCCGACCAGCCACCGACCGCCGCGCAGTCTCTTCGTCGTAGGCGCCACAACACCAGCGCACGTCTCGTGTACTCCCGTACTCGGCAAAGCAGTCGCGCGCACCCGAACGAGTCGTCGCGGGGCAACGCTCGAGAAACAGCGGGAGCCCGAAAGCCATCAATCACGTGACGCGTATACATACAGTGTCAAAGGTATTATTTTCATTTACTTACTATACGTCGCACGTAGTACGAGACGTCAAGAGAGAAGAGAGAGAGAGAGAGAGAGAGAGAGAGAGAGAGAGAGAGAGAGAGAGAGGGAGCGACACTTTACAACTGGAAGAGCTGTCCCCATTGAACGCTCTCATCCCCACTGTGTCTCTCTCTCTTTATCGCTTTATCTCAGTCTCTGCCTCTACTGCCTCTCTGCCCGTCTCGTTTGTTGTTAGTTGATCTCTATTGTCTGTTGTCGCAAAAAGCGTTTTGATACGCGAGTGGCATCGTGACGATTGTGTGTCTACTGTGTGTGTCTGATGTGTGTGTGTGTGTCGTGTGTTTGTGGTACTGTTAGCGCGTGAAGGGGACCGACTGCTGAATTTTGTGACCTGTTGCTGTGTGTGAGTGTGTGGGGAGAAGTGCCGGACAATGGAGTTTGCTGCGGCTAAAGTGGCTACAGAAACGGCTGCTCCGTCGACTGCTTTGGTGGACGGTCACGAGCTCTCGTACGCGGACGATACCGATATTAAGGAGCAGGGAAAGAGGGACGGGCCACTAGCCGGCGCGGCGATTGCGGTCGAAATCGTCCACCCCGCGTGGTTCGAGCCTCAGCTTCGAGACGTCGGATCTCTTTCGCTTTGAAAGCGCTAGTGACCTGTTTGCCCCTGTGAAGTACAGTGAAGGCGAATTGACGGCTGCGTCGTCACCAACGGAAAGTGGCGACGAAAGTTATAGCAAAGACGCGGGACTGCTGAGCACGACGAGCGCGGCATCTACGAGTGTTGCTGTATCAAAAGCTACTTCAGCTACTGTCCCTCTGGCTACCGGTGATGGGCTGCGCTCGTCGTCGATGGACCAAAGTAGCACGTGTGACGGCGATGAAACAAGCATTGGTACTGAAAAGACGGACCATCCCGGGGACGCAGCTCGGGCCATTGATTGTCAACTGCGCAAAGTACGCTCTGAAAGGGACATGCTGCCACTACCGACCCTTGGTCGTCGTAAAAACAGTATCGAGATGTTCCTCTCGCAGTCGCCGAGTCAGGCATTGGGTGGTGACTTTCTAAAGTTGAGTCTGAGTGACCGACGAAGAAGTTTGGAAGTTAATGAGCGAGCAGCCAATGGGGGAAATGGGGGCTCGCGTAGTGGTTCAAGCGCCGCGCCAAGTGTGGATTCTTATGCATCCGGTCAGTTCCAGCTGAACCCGGTGCAAAAGTCGTCAACTGGGTACACTTCCATGGGTGGACGATATCGCCATGCCCAGTTGCCACCATCTGCTGCACCACAGCCGCAAGAGCGGTATCGACCTAGTGGTCGCGTTGCTTCACAGAAGCAGATGCCAACGTCGCTTTCGCTTTCGCGATCGAGTACCGTACCAGGCACCACGAACAGTACTTCTGGTGAGGCTTACAACTCGGTGTACGCGCTGAGTTCGCATTTACCGATGGACGATTCGTGGTCAGGCAGCCAAGAGGAGGACAGTAACGCTTTGTACCAAGAGCCGGTGCAAGAATACTATGGCAATAACCAAACGGTGGCTTCGTATGAGCAACAGCAGTTTTACCAACAGCAGCAGCAGCAGCCACAACCGCACCGGTCACTGCAAGTAGTCAATGGGTTGTACGGCTACGGTGGCACACCGTCTCGGGCACAAATGAATCCAGCACAGTGGAATCCGATGGTTGTAGGACCGCTTCCTCCGCCTTCCGGTATGTACGATGTCAGTGGTAACATGTATGTGATCCCGCGCTCGAATCCTTCGAGACACCCTTACGCCCAGATGGGATATGGCTTTCAGAAGCAGAGCCCAATGGGAGCGCGCGGTGGGAACAGTCGTGCACAAGGACGAAACATGTATTCGCGTATAACGCCACCGCTTCCCGATTCGTCCCCTCCCCATTCGCCTCGCAAGGGTATGGGCGTCGGAGGCGGCGGGCAAATGGGAATGAAGCAGTGCAAGTTTTTTGTGCAAGGATATTGTCGGATGGGCAGTAAGTGCAAGTTTGTGCACCATGGTGGTGCTTCGACTCCAGAGCACACGGGCAGTTGTCACAACCCAAACCGTCAAAGTGGTCCGACGACCTACCAACAACAGAGCCGGATGGCAATGATGCCGCCTCTACAGTCTCACGCGATGCAGCAGCGCCGTCTGTTAAACGGGGACAATATCGGTAACCAGGTGAATGCCGCATTTGGAGCGCGTCTTGAATCTCGCTTGAGCTACCGTACAGAGAACACCGGTAATAGTAGCATGGGTTTGGGACTGATGAACGATGGTGGCATGAGCGCGCCAATAATGGGTGGATCTGCTACCGATCCGTCCAGCTTGAGCGCGGCGTTGAGTGTGGAGGACATTCAAAACCGTGTGTTTGCAATGTCGAAGGATCAAAACGGCTGTCGATTGCTGCAGGAGCAGCTCGACTACGAAGACCGTTCCGACTTGTGCGAGGTGATTTACCAGGAGTCTCTCGAACACCTTGCTGAAATGATGGTCGACCCTTTTGGCAATTACCTTTTTCAGAAGCTGCTGGAGCGTGTCAACGAAAAGCAACGCCTTGTGATTATCCGCCGCGTTGGCTCAAACCTTGTGGCTGCTGCTCTCAATCTGCACGGCACTAGGTCTGTGCAGAAGGTTGTGGAAGTGTGCGCGATTTCAGCGGATGTGATTGAAGAAGAGTATGATGACGGAGATGACGATATCTACTCGAGTCATGGTGAGGACCACTCGGAGGGTCGTGAACAACGCCGAGCGACAAGTCTGCCGGATGTAATTGTCGAGGCACTGAAGGACGATGCAGTGCGTCTCTGTATTGACTCGAATGGCAATCACGTCATTCAGCGCGCTTTGCAATATTTGAAGCCAGAGTACAATCAATTCGTGTTCGATGCTGTGTGTAAGGAATGCACGACTGTCGGCACGCACCGTCATGGCTGCTGTGTTCTACAACGTTGTTTGGATGCAGCGAACCAAGCGCAAAAGGCGGAAGTGATTGAGCAGGTGGAGCGACAGGCGATGAAGTTAATGCAGGATCCGTATGGCAACTACGTTGTACAGTATGTGCTTGACTCGTGTACGGCTGAAGAGGCTTTCGGTGTCATAATGAAGCCTTTGGGTCACATCTACGAGCTTTCGGTGCAGAAGTTCAGCTCGAATGTGATTGAGAAGTGCCTTGAAAAGGCTCCCGAGCGTGTGCGCCAAAAGTATATCGCCGAGATCACAAGTTGTCCGAAGATGAACAAGATGTTGCAGGACCAGTTCGCCAACTACGTGGTCCAGCGTGCCTTGTGTGTATGCGCCGAGGAACAGTGTCTGCTTCTGGTCAAGGCAATTCGTCCGCACTTGGCAGCTATGAGAAACACGTCAGGAGGCCGTCGTATCACGGCCCGTATCCTCAAGCGATTTCCGAACATGGACATCAGTATGGATATGGGCATGTCACCAACTGCTGATTGTCTGTTCAATAATGGCGTCAATGGGATGACCATGAGCCATTTGCCGTCTTTGTCGATGGGAAACTACATGCAGCAGCAACACTTGCAGCCGAATCAGATGTACGGAATGCAGGGCGGTCATATGAGTGCTTTTCATCACTACCAGGGAGGCAGTCGTGGTAACCGCATGCCTCCGATGCACGGTAGTGACGGTAGCATGATGACTCTGACGGACGTGGGTGGAATGGGTGTGAATGGTCCGAGTCGTGCGTAAAGCAGGTGGAGTGGATCAGGCAAAAAAACAAAAGCCGAGAAATCGGAGGCAATGGAAAAGTATGAACTGGCAGTCATGGAAGTGCGTATGAAGGGCAACGACAGAGAAGGTGAGGGAATCTAGACAGGCTGAAGATGCGCGAGCGAGAGACCGCCGCATGGATCGGGAGTCAGACTGAGTAAGTGAAGGGTTAAAAGTTTTGCGCGTTTGTAGATAAGACAGATACAGAAAGAAGCAATGCATGTTTAGGACTTGTATCAAAGCAAAGAGCCCATGGCAGCGGTGACGGTGAGTAGTGGCAAGCGGCAAGTGGGACGTCAAGGCAACAACGTGGTATGACAAATTGCTGTATCAGTAAGCCGCCACTCGACCGCAAGCTTGAGACGAAGATTGTGGCAAAAATAAAGTTGGAAACTGTTGTGACGCATGTTCGTCTTGCCACCTTGGCTACGTCGGTAGTAGGCTAATGACCGTAAGACAATGAATGAAGAAGCTTTTTATAGGATTGCGTCAAGACTCAAATATTTATCTTGACCGAGACAAGCAAGGATAACGAAGACCTAAAAATGTGAAGCCGGAAATATAATCCATTGGAAGCAGCTCTCGTCACGCCACAAAAATGAGTCACACATGCAGGCTTGTTTCCATATGCTTTCTGTGGGTACGTCGTCCCCAAACATTAGCGGCATGTAGCTCGAACAGGTTTATGTCAGACTGT